ATAATATATCTTATTATTTATTAAGTATTTGCTGAGTGATAGGAATATTGATATCCCTCATGAAGAAAACAAATTTACGCTAATTCTATTATCTTCGATCGAATAAACTTGCTCTATCGCCAAGAGAATTTACTTTTACAATTACAATAAATACAATTTAATAACATTATAACAATCGTATTGAGCCTACTGCCAAGATTTATAAAAAATACAATGCTAATTCAGCTCGGTATCGGAATGAGACCTTTGTAAATGTTTAGCTGAGTGACTTTAAGCTGTACCTAATCGTTGTTGTAAAGCATTTGAATGAGATATAGCTTATACAATAAGCGATTAATACGCTACATAAGCTAACACAAAAGTAATAATTACATATTCAGGTGTTCTAAAGAGTTATATACTACATAAAACTCTTAAATGTCAATAAACAATACACTAAAGTATGTTATTATACTACAATATACAGGTTCTATTTATTGTGACAAACGTATAGAAATCTACCAGCAGGTTTGTAATATTGGTACGAATATTTTCGTGGGCCTGCGGCCTAGCGACACGGGCACGGGCTGCCTACAAAAATATACCTAAAGGATACAAGTCACTCGATTGGTTGTAAAATAAAAACTTGATTTAATTGACAGTGATAGTTTCGATACGAAAAACGTGAAATCTACCTATTGCTTATCAATACAAATAAATAAAATTGAAGTCTCTGTTTGTAATGTCAAAATAATAGGTTTTTTCATGCTCACACGCTTATTTGCACGATATCTTTGCCTAAAAACTAGTTTTTTTTTTGTCTATCTGTCGGAATCGAACCCACGCTTTTCAAATTCCACGCGAACGAAGTCGCGGGTACCAGCTAGTAAATCAATGTGAATGAATATATTATATTGATATAACTTTTGGTAAACTATGAATCATTTCGATGATATCATTACGAATTACTGCACTTGTCAGTTAACAAACCCATTAGACAGTCTGAAACTGGCATTAGAATTTTACTAATTTATTGTTTGTCTCATTCAGATCGTGACAAAACCCGCTATTCCCAAAGATTTATATTAGAAATTTTTCTGACAATTTATTTAAAAACCCGCAACGCCATGACAGTTTAGAAAAATTATCACGCAATTAAAACATTTCCCTAATGGGAACAAAAGGAAGTTTGGGTCATAAAATATTTGTCCTAAAATAACACAACAGTGACGCAATATCTCACATCGAGGAGGGCCGAAAGCAATACAATTTGCAAACCCCAGGTGGTCCATCAATCCATTACAAGCAAACAGCCAGGTACAAGCTACAAGTACCGCGTAAGCACATTTACTGCTATTACTCGTAAATTCATAATAAATTCCGGCACACAATTTTGACATGTTTGTTGCGTATATTATATTGAGTATATATTTTAATGTATACCTATCAGTTTGGTTTTTAATGTCAGTTATACAAATAGAATCAATACAATAAAAATTGGGCACTTACGAACACAAAGAAATAGAACCGTAGATCTGATGATCGCACCTAAATATTTTCGCAAAATTATTCCGAAATACCAAAGCTACATATGACATAGGGTGATAAAATTCATAGCCTGTAAGTCTTCGTTCTATGCTTATGTGAATCAAATTATTTCGATCTGGTTTCCGCTTGCCTTCCTGTAGGTCCACGAACATTTTATACTAAGTATCTACATTTTCAAACATTCGAATCTATTAGGAAATAAGAAACATATGTATGTAGGTACTCTCAGTATTGCACGTGCGCCTATATATCAATCTAGGGGGTCCGTGGGACGGGCACGCCGTCATCGCGGCGGTAAGACCCGTTATGGAGGATTGGCTCGAGAGGCGTCACGGGACCCTCTCATACCGATTGACGCAGGTGATCACTGGGAAGGGATGTTTCGGGGATCACCTGTGTATGATCCGTAAGGAGCCAACGCCTGAGTGCCACCACTGCGATGGCCAGACCGTGGACACGGCTCTCCACACGCTGGCAGAGTGCCCGGCGTGGGTTGAGCAGAGGCGAGACCTCGTGGCGGCCATCGGAGTGGGAATTCTGTCGCTCGATAGCCTGATTGCGGCTATCGTGCCGAGCGAGAGTGCGTGGAACTCTGCCGTCTCCTTCTGCGAGCAAGTTATGCTCGCGAAAGAGACGGTGAAGCCGGACCGGGAGAGGTTTAGGACTCTCCCGGCCCGCCAGGCCGCAGGCGACCCAGGCGCCGGAGGTCGCAGAACGACCTCCGTCCTCCATAAGCGCAGGTCTGTGGGTGACAGGTGAGGCCATCTGTCACCCTAGCAGAAGCAGGCCGGGGTGGCGGCGAGCGCGTTGCGAAGCGCGCTCGCTTCCAGGGAGCACAGGGAACACAAACACACACAACAACAACAAACGCGTATAAGTCATCCATGTGAAAATGGCTAACGGTCATCAGAAAATATAATGAGCTCCCGTTTTACGAGCTTGTTTATCCAAGTTCCTTTACAAAGTGTTGATTTTACAGTATATATTTTACCTAACATTTGTCCGCAACTAGGACTATAATTATTTGTTTTTTACAAATAAATACATCTTAGGAAATAAGCTATATTGTCTGTGCTTGTGAGTTTTGAAAAGAAATCTGTTGATGAAACAGTTTATTGCCGACAGTTACCTTTATTTATATAATAGCAGTTATTCGTGACTTTCTATGGTTAAAACACTTTAGAACAGGATAATTTTTTTTTGGAATTGTAACGGTGTTCGTTAATCGTAACTCTACAAGTAAGCTGTTAAGCTAACTTGTAGAGTATTTGTAGGAAAGAAAAATAGTTTTTTGCTCTACTAAGAGATATCTAGTTGTTAAATACTGAAACAGCAGAAAGTAAAGTCGCGACAAAAAAAATGACAATCTAAAATATGTGTGTTGGCGGTACACAGTACTGTTCTTGGGATAGCTGATGTTTTACTACCTGTGAAACAAACGTCTGCAATATGCCCTTTTTTTGTTGATGGAGTGAATAATCCTTTCGGATCTCCGGCTTCTTGGAAACGCAGGAGTATGTATTGTTTCCACTAAAAAACACCCCGATGGCCAGCCTCAGATGCCCTAAGCCAAGGAGGATTTCAGGTCCTCCCCGAATCAAACCGACACCACGCCTAACCATGCTCTATCCCGGGGTAAACTGAAAACTTCCCCCTGTATGTCTGCAATTTACCTGTATTTTGTTTTAAAAAGTCAAAAGCATAAAAATCATAAAGAAGAGTACATTTCTTGACAAGCCTATTTAATTTACAATGAATAGCGCTACAAATATTTATAAAATTTATATTTTTTATTTACTAAAACCATTTTTTATTTAATTTAAGGCAGAAAATTAACAAAGTATGCAATCCTGAATGACAACACGAAACCCGTCATGCGACTCGCACCTCAGACTATTCCATACACATTGACTTAACTTATACTACTTTGATTTTGACTATAGGCAAATTTGGACAATGAATAAACCATTTGTGGGAACAAATAAAAACTTTGTCTTATTTTATTAGAATAGCTTCTGTAACAATTTTTTTTATTTACTTTCCGTTCGTTGTCAAAATTTGTATAGAACTTTTTGTAAACCAATAATATCCAGCTTGGAAAACAACACCAGCGTCATCAATTCATCGTCAATTTTCGGAGGTCATTTGTGATCGTGAAGTGATCGCTGAAAGCCTAATCAAATGGGAATCGAAAGTGACACCACGACTAAGCGTTTTTAGAAAAAAAATACGATTCTGTAAGAAATATAGTTTATACTTAACAAATTCATCGAAAGCAATGGCGCCCGTGAAAAATGAGATATAACCAAACTCGTAACTCAAAATAAGTGTTCCAAAACATCACGTAAATGATCAAAAACAACAGGAGTAAATACTTAGTTTTGGCATGTTTCCGTAATGTTTGGCAATAAATTTCGGGGAACAAACAAAACGCCCTTATCTGATACGCCGGTGACGCAAATCACGGGCCACAGGAAACCTATCAAGAACCTTTTCACAGTTTCCACACCATTTAATCGGCCATCAATGTTACATACCGTGTTATTACACAGATGATTATCTACGTATTATATTTAGTATACAAAGCTTACAATTTTTTTTTAATACTAAACTATTTCGAGAAAAAACTTTTGCGTGTGCCTTGTATTTCGATTATCACAAAAACTGTTTATGGGTTCTTACTCGATTTCCCTCGGGATAAGACCCAGTTAGTTGCCGCGCTGATTCGGGGGACCTAAAATCACATGGTCCAGTTCCTCCCCAAAGTATCCTCCCCGGTACCTGAGGCCCACTGGTTTTTAGGGGAAACTCCTGTTTCCCCAAGGAGCCGGAGATCCGAAAGGATTTTCTTTCGGCGATCCGAAAGGTAAAACGATCCAACGAACAAAAAGGCGTTTTACCTTCATATTAATTATAGTTCAAATGACAGTGGATGATTATGTCGGACTCGAACCGACCAAAAACCGCACGCCGTCTCCAGGTACCAGTAGTTAAATTTTTACATTTTCTTGTTGGTCATGTAGTACAATGTTTTTATCATGTAAAATATTAGTTATTGGTATCTACATATACATTTCTGACGCTTTACTTATGTATTTTAGGCCCTCTTTTCTGGCCTAGGGCTATCGTTATGTATATGTACACTCAAATTAATATTCGTTTATTCTATTTGAATTGATTCGTTTATTATATTTACACACGTTTATAATCGATTCCACATTTTACAGCACATTCTCATAAAAAACTTAAGCTTTATCTGTTTTGCTGACTGAATAGTGATCCTCCAAGCAATCGTTTTTTTTACGGCCGGGCTAATCTGACATGCTAAATTCTAATTTTTATATATTTTTTCCAAGGCAATATAATATCAATAAACGTATGACAATAAAGTGATGTTAGGAGGGACATGAGAGAGCAGTGTGGTGTAAGTGCGGAGCGGCGGTGATGCACGCGCACGATGCGCGCGGGCATTGATGGAAGAGTCATGGTCGTCGGGCGGTGCGCCGCTGCTGCGCACTCGGTCGCTGCCGCTGGTGCTCGAGGCTGCAAGCGGCGGTGCTCCCACGCGCCAGACAAAACTCGACCCGCGACAGCTACTTACGCTCACAAGACATTACTACCCAGAAGGAGGATGGGGCTGGGGCGTAGCGGCTGCAGCTACACTTGCACAGATTCTCGCCCATGGCCTACACCAGGCCGCCGCTGTTCTCGCCGTGGAAACCGTCAAACGTTTCGGACCGGAAGTCCGCATGCAAGCAGGTATCTGGAGAAGATAGAAGTTATTAATTGTTTTAAAACAATTTACTCGAATTAATTTAGCATAACGTATTTCAACTGTTAATCTTGAATGTAGAAATAGCTCGTAGTTTTGTATTTCACTTATACACATTACTACATACAACTATTAAAATACATTTCTTAGATTGTGTCTAAATATACATCTACTATATTTAGCAACCACCTCTGAAATGAAGTCCGTAAAAGTATAATAAAATTTGCTGCGATAGCAATTACAAATATGTAAGTGATTGTGTGTGATAGAAGCACATTATATTACACCCTAGAGTGCCAAGAGAAAATGTTCTCATATTTCAACTAAAGGCTCTTGAACTTTGAAAGTGCAAGATCGAATGGACTCTCCAAATGTCCAAGATATCGAACCTTCTTCATCCGGTCGGTCCGTCTCCTATCCAATAAATCTTCGAATTTTGTCTGAAACAATGAAATATCGCAAAGGCCAAAGTGATAATGATGTACATGTGGGAAATAATAAACCACTTTTTCTTGTCTTTTTTTACTTCATTTATTCCTTTCTTGGGAATTCACCGCTTCCATATACCATTAGATTTTTCTTTGTGTCACTTTGTTAGGATTTCGGAAATCTTCTTCGTTTTAATATTAATATATAATATTTTGAAGATTTAGGATTAATCACTTGGGATAGGCATGATAGGTGTCCAACGCGTTTATAACATCAATTCAGGCCACAACGAGAAAAGCAATGCTTGCGGTAGATTTGCAAAGATTTAGCAATGAGAAAATTATATGAATTAGAAACATGAAGAAATAGTAAATAAAAAAGGCATAACTTAATTTACGGTGCTTTTATCAATCTAAAATGATTTAATTGCTTTTTTTTGTGATATTTGAATTACGTTTAGACGCTGACGTTCTGTTAGTAGTTTGTCGGAGCCGTCTATTATCTTCTAATTATCATCTTAAATGCACTTTTAATGCAACAGATATTTTACCTCAGGATGACTCAGATTGTGCCGTATGTCTGTCATATCTTTGTATTTTATGAGCTGTAATTCATTTCTTCAAGTTTTGTTAGGTTATATATTTATAGTACAATGCTTACAAAAACCAACACACAATCTGGACGTCAATAGATCACTATATTGTATAAGTATTTATTTGTCAGAGGTAAACAGTTCATCTTCCCGTTACAAAATATTGCATCAGACCGTTTAAGTGTTCAGTTTTTTTGTAGATGTTTATTGGATTCAAGTTATCCACAAACTACAACCTAATTTAGATTTGAAACAAATTAGTTAAATATGTATATATGTATACCTGCGTATAAATGTATTTTAAAAACTTATTTTATGTTTAACACAGACTATCTAAGCCAAATAAAATAAAGTAATAATTTCTAATTTTCTATAACTATAAACATATAAAATTACTCTGTGAAGGGAGTTTTTATTGGCCATAGAAAAACAAATCTCGCAATCTAAGAGCTCAAACAATTTCCTTGCGTTAAAAGCGAGTTGTCTGCTTATTTAGTACCTACAAAATGAAACTAGAATTGGGTAATGTCAAAGCAACCCAAGTTCCGGTCGATCGAGCATTAAACATACATATTTTCTTGGTAACCCATCGATGTAATATGGTAATAAAGAGACTTCTTAATATCTGGTAAGTGAAAGCAGCTTTTATTGATAGAGATTTTAGTTTTAATACCATTAGTCTGTTAGGCTTTGCAATAAGGATAAAAATGTATTTATGTATTTCTTATGACCTTTCATGTATATCTTATGACCAGGTCATTTCATATTATTTTCAATTCATCTCTGTTTTTCTAGTATCTCGTTTATTTTTTAAATTTAGCTAACAAATTGTGACGTTTGAAAGTGCACTGTAGCAAGGCCTTCTCGATAAAAATATTTGAGTTGAATTCATTAAAAGTTATCTTTGTGTTTCGTACTGCGAACCAATAAGTGCAGTCTGCAAATAATTTTAAATGTGTAAATGTCATTTTTACGTAAGCCTATTCCTTTTGTTTGTATTGTTGTGTACAAAGCATACATTGTTTCTAGTTCTGTTGTTATAAACAATTTAATTTAAATATAAAATCATCTAATCGATTTGGATAGCATCCAATTCCACATAGTTTACATATTAGAACAGTAAGATCGTAATGAACCAGAAAATAGCATCCAATATCTGAGTACATATCTTTGATACTTGCATACTAAGCGTACTAAACTACTAAAATATATCCAACAGATAATTTTAGGGTGGTAGTCAAAGTCGCGGCTTAGCTACCATATCTGAACAATGCTAAAACGCATTCATTATCATCTTGACTGTCCTTTCAGAGAAAATAACTTTTCGTATATTGAATATGTTCATCCTATGGAATCCAACTATAGATGTTATGAAATAAACATTCCGACAGATAGATATGACTCTTCGGCTGTCATATTTTAAACTAACACTTAAAAACCCTGGAACGTAAATACAAGCCAACTTATTATTAACATAACGCACGTTACATGCTTGTATCGGATGGGAGCGCCATGGTCGCCATGGGTCATGTTTATGTCTTAAGTTGACAATGGAAAATCATAGAAAAGTAACTCAATCATTTACCAGCCCTCCCAAGCTGTTCTGAATATTATTTTGAATTATGATTTTCAATGCACTCACACATATTTTTATCTACGTAAGTAGGTAAATATCTACAAGCACTCCAGTAAGCCAAGTCTCTTGAACCTTGGCAACACAGATATCAATTTACTTGGAAGAAAAATGACTATATTTTCATAGGCATACTTTCTCCTTATTCTTTGTTTTCTATTTCTTAAGTAACTTCTTTCATATCGAACTATAAAGTTATGACACGATGTGAGTGGCATAAAATATATTACAGGATATTTTAGTAAAATAATGATTAATAATATATCTCACACATCTCACACACGGCCGTCTGATCCTAAGCTGGGCAGAGCAAGTCAGATCAGTATATTTTAATTATTTTTGTCACAAGTCTCTTAATATGGCAAATCTCGTGAAATTAATGCATGCGTTAAAATTTTACACTTACACAACGTTGTAACGACACCGATAGTCTTTAATGTTTTATTGGAATGAAGTTCCTTATCGCGATGTACACTCTCTGAGCGGATGGGAGCGAGACCGAAAAATGTGTGACAAGACTTTTTTACGACACTTCTTGCGGAACTTCGTTCTGACCGGGGGTTTATAGACCCTCACGCCGTTTTTATTAATGTGTTAATATTTAATATGTATGCTTTCGTCAAATGATTAAATGTAACTGATGTGCAGTTACTCCGTCAGTGCTTATAATCCGTGCAGCCCTATCTGAAATGGCAGTCTGCCGTAGAAGTCAATTCCTTCTATAAACTATAAACGAAATAGAATTATGGGTGATTAGAACTAGATGAACATCGTTCATACATACGGAGTAGGTTAAAATACTGAGACTATGGTCTGCGGTCGTGTAATTTTTATGCTTCGAATCTTCCGTTACTAGGAACATCACCGTCGCTAGCAGAGTTAGTTGCAGTAATGATGTGATTTATGGTAAGCTGACTTCTAAACTGTGATGAACGCGTAAAAAATAAAATTATTCCACCGGTTCTTAAACCTGATGATTCATTAAAAATTAGCGAAACGATGTTCTTTCAGATGGTGAACCTCACAATTTAACATGAAATTAGTCGCGGCCTTAGATCTCGCCTCCTGGGAGACGAGCTGGCTTATTTTTCCTATACTACAGAGTTTTTCAATTTCAAAAACATTCAAAGAACCTTTTACCGTTACCGTTTCATCATCTAGACATAATCCTTTAATCTAAGAAAGTAGCATTACAATTTCCTATTCAAAGCAACAGAAGGGTGTCGTTAAAGTAATAGGTGATAAACACAGATAACGTGCGTGGAGAACCGTCAAGAATCGATTATCCTCTGAAATAGAGTACTTCGTTTTCTTTTCATCGATTGCTCGCTATTCATTATGTTTTGTTACTGAATCGTTTTTATATAATTCTCTTGACTATTGATCCTACTATAATATAAAAAGGCTCAGTTGACGGTGATAGGTTTACAGTGATTATATCTACCAAGTGAGACCGTCGAAATCTGAGTATTTAATTTGTCTCTGCCTGGAACCTCAATCACGTCTATATCTCCGAAGGGGTAACTTAGTTCTACTAATATGTATAAAATTTAAAAAAAAATTGCTGAAAATGATGCTTCAGCATATCTTATTTGGGGAAAATAGCGGGTAACGGAACTGTCAATCATAGCAATCGTTTATTACGATGTAGGCGAGGCGTAAGGCAGTTTTGATACGTGAGTCTCTGAACATCGACCTCATCCTACATTTATCATCTCAAATGACGTTTAATATGTTTCAGTTTGTTGACAGAGAACGGCAACGCGTTTTGCGAAGTAACGAGCGATTATAATAACCTAATAACCTCATTTTTTATCCTAAAAACTACTGCCAGAATTTTCGACATATAATTTTATCGTATATTATTATCGACCTAATGAATTTAGTAGTTCTACCGCATTTGAAAATTCGAGATTGTTTGGGAAGAATTTAATTACTAAAATATTTTTATATTTTTGCCACAATTTATAGCGCTGTTAAAGTGACAATTCAAATAGTGGAATTAAAAGCCACGTGGAATAGATACTTTTCATTTTAACATATATAATAACAAATATAATTAAAATTAAAATCTTATCGAAGTCTAGCTTAACTCAAATAAATTCTTAAAAAAATAATTAATTGTTATATTCAATCTATATACAGGGTTACCGGGTTTTATTTAATGCTGGCTATATCCTAGACTATTATACTATAATAATGCCTTGTTAGATAGTTGTCATGTACATGTTTTTTTTACACATCTACAACTTAATGGTTACAGATTTTTTAAATATTTTACAATGAAAAAATTACATTTCTATTATAAACCATCTACTTGAGCCCACTTTGTT